CCGGGGAGACCTTGGCTTTTTTGTCTCGACAACTTTCCCTCCTTCAAGTTGATCAGTTTACGTACGAACTGCGGGGTAACCACAAACCACTTCCAATTGGGTGATTGTACGGCTGATCGTTTGGAGAGCATATCAGAAAACCCCCCATGGGTGAACCAACTGTTATCGATGATGTCCATGTAGTTGCTGATGGTTTCGATAAGCATCGGTAACTCAAGAGCCTTTCTTCGGCAGTCTCAGACGCGGCGTCTGCTTAAAGAAAGACGCCTTTGTCACTAGAACGAGGACTATCCGAAGAGCTCGTCAACCACGTGAACTTCCGAGTACTGAAATTATACTTCAACATGGCTCAAGCTACACAAAGTCTCTCACCGCTTGGTTTCATTGCCATAGAGGTGGATATACACCGACCACCGGGTGATCCCTACAACGAGCGCACCTGGCCGTTTCCTCTCATCCGTGAAATGGCAGAAGGGTCAAAAGTTTCGCAGGTCGTCACGTCTTCTAGCTATGACTCTACATTCATAGACCGTTTTGTGGATGCGGGACTGCGTTTAGCGGCTAGAGGTTGCGTGGGCATCATCACTAGTTGCGGGTTCCTTGCACTAGCCCAATCCGAGTGAGTATAATGCCAAACATCATTTGCCATTAACTCAACTCCAAGGAGAAACCCAAAGTCTGATTTGTGAATATGTTAGACTCACCGCAAGGTTGCCCATCCCGATCGCCACGTCGTCGCTAGCCCAACTGCCCTCAATACTACCTCTGCTTCCGCCTGACAAGAGTGTGGGAGTTCTCACTTATGATGAGTCAAGACTAGGCTCTCAGCACCTTGCAAGCTTTGTCCCCGCACAGGCACTTTCCAAGATTGTTATCCGCGGAGTGCCTCCCGACGGTCATTTGAGGGGCACAATTGGGAGGGGCGCTCCTTATGTCCATGCAGACATTGAGGCAGAGCTCGTCGGCGTTGCCAAAAGCTTTGTTGCTAGTCGGCCTGACATCAGGATCCTAGTACTTGAATGCACCAATATGCCCCCTTTCTCGGAGGCAATATTCAGAGCACTAGATGGCAAGATTCCTGTTTATGATGTGTACACCATGGGTCAGTGGTTTTACTCTGGGTTAGCGAGACCAACGCCAGTTTATTGGCATGGTTAGCAGCATCTGCAATGATGTCAGAGTCGAAGCTTTTATGGTGACTCTACGAACGCAATTGGGTCACAGCCGAGTCCGTTTTAGCTTGGCATCTCTTTACTTACCCTAGTGTAAATGAATAGTTCTTCAGTAATCACCACACTATTGTGAGTGCGAATGGATATTGACTTTTCTTCCCGCTTTTACTAACCACCTCTATCCACATGCAGTCTCATAATAAAAAGTCGCCTCCTGACTCCTTCACAATCAACTGATACTCTGGTACAAACTGCATGTACATGACTTCCGGTGTACCCGTGCCATCCTTTGTGTACTGCGCCTCCTCTTCGCCGACAAACGTCTTCTTCAGTCCACCAGCAGCACCGTTGGTTCCAGGAGCAACAGCCTGCTCAACAAGGAACTGAGCCTGGCAACAACGTTCAAGCGCGATGAAGAATGCAGCTGCCTCAGCCACCGTCCCACCGGCGGTGAGTAGTCCGTGGTTTTGGAGGATGATGTTCTTGTTGGTGGGGCCGAGGGCTTCGGCGATATGCTCGCCCTCTTCCTTTGCCAGTACGACGCCACCGAATCCTTCGTAGACAGAGAGGTCGTTGTAGAACATGCATGAGTCTTTTTGATGGCATAATTAGAACTGCATCTCTCCACAGTAGTGCGCGATGAGGTTGGGAGTTGTGGCTTACCTTGGTTAAGCATGTCGATCGGACGTCCGAAAGTGCTCCACGCCCGGCCGTAAGGGCTGTGCATGTGGCAGGCGGCGTTGATATCCGGCCTTCTCTTGTGGAGAACGGAGTGAATGGTGAAGCCGGCGGTATTTACCGGCTTATCTGCACCGCCAATGCGGTTGCCATCCTCATCGATGTGAACCATGTCCGACACCTTTAGCACGCCAAAATGCACTCCATACGGGTTGATCCAGAACGTGTCCGGTCTAATGGGGTCTTGCAGGAATTCTCAGCATAGTCCTCGCCTGTTTGTAGTGATAGTAAAGAGGAAAAGGGAAGAAAGCATACCTCGTAGACTGATGTGCCCACTGCTTCCATCAGAAAAGCCCAACTTGGCAAAGATGCGAAACGCGGCTGCCATCTGTTCCAGCTGCCATTTTCGGGCGGCTTCTTTGGATTCGGGAACCGGGATCTGGTGTAGGCGCTTGACCTTGCCGCTACCCGCCTTGCCCGAGTCCAGCGCCGAACCGAGCGGTGTCGGCGCCGGTGGTGCTTGTGCGGGTGTGGATGCCGTAACGGTTGTGGTGGTTGACATGGTGGGCGATGTGGTAGGTAACGCTCTCAACTGCAATGTGCCTTCAAAGAAGGGGAGGTGGTTTTCCTCGGCTGTGTCTTCTTATCAAACCCTCGTCCTCTCGCGATGTGACCTTGAAAGAATGAGAAAGTCGAGTAAGTGAGCGCTCAGTGGAATACCAAATGGCGGTTACTCCGCATGAGGTGATGGAGAAGAGCGGATAAGCACAACAGCAATGTCGCCGTCACTCGGAAACCTCCGACCCTGGCGGTTGGGGACGGTTCATGCCCGACTAAGGCCGCTCCTTGCTTCCGATCCACCTTTCGGCAAGATGGCGAGCTGCCGGCGCCTCCACCGCCCCATATCCGAAGCCACCAAACGAATCGCAGTGACATCTTAGCAGTAGTCTCCGGCGTAAGCCGGACGACGTAGTCGATGACCTCGGTCATGCTTGCTAGAGTAAGTCATCTGACGGCTGTTAGTAACTCATCTCACAGTAGGAAGGTTTGCTGGTCAGACTAATTGTTTTCGTAATGCTCTCGGGAAAAACCATGAGGCCTAACTCTATGCCAGCGTTTTCCCCCGAAGTCATCGTGTGACCCAACTCGACTATCCGCACAGATGATTGTTGGTTACTAGATTTCCTTGATGTTTAATAATACATGGTATCTAGAAGTTTGCCTCTAAATTATAACTCTCTACTACAGGCTAGTTCTATCTAAGCCTTACTTATCTTCCAACTATACCCGAATATCAACCTTATCGCATCACTCTTATCTTGATCTCTTCCTACTCAGCCATCCTCATCAAGGGATCTTCTTGGTCTTTGAACAACAACTGATTCACAAACCAACACCATCATGTCGACCAGCCTTCTATCCACGCACCGGTCAGGTCCTCCGGGCCATCCGGGACCCGACGCCAACTACGTCGACGCCGACACCCTCCGAACGACCTTTGCGCTCGCAATGTCCGCCATGTACAAGGCCGAGGTGCCCCTCTACGGCGACCTCATTCAAATCGTCCAAACCATCAACAGAGATGCCCAGTCCAAGCAACGCCACGGCCTCGGACACGGCTCGAGCTCCGCAACAATGGAAGCCAGCATCGAGCGCCTAGCCCTCGAACGGCACGGCGCAATCCGCCTCGGCACCCCGCAAGAACTCCACACCGTCCGCCGCATCTTCGCACTCCTCGGCATGCACCCCGTCGGCTACTACGACCTCTCCGTGGCCGGCCTGCCCATGCACGCGACCTGCTTCCGCCCGACGTCGCCACACTCCCTGGAACGCAACCCCTTTCGCGTCTTCACAACGCTCCTCCGGCCCGAGCTGCTCAAGTCTGGCTCGGCGCGAGCCGTTGCCTTAAATCTCCTTGCAAAGCGCGATATCTTTAGTGATGCCCTGTTGGAGCTTCTAAGCATAGCTGAGACGTGTCAGGACGGTCGCCTGACACCAGAGCAAGGGGAGCGGTTCGTGGTGGAGGCGATTCGCACGTTTAGCTGGCAGCCCCTCGCGGCGGCTACGCACGAAGAGTATGCCCTCTTACGGAGCGAGCATCCCATCTTGGCGGATATCGCGTGCTTCCGCTCGTCGCACATTAACCACCTCACGCCGAGAGCCCTGGATATCAATGCCGCGCAAGAGGCCATGCTTGCCGCGGGTATGGCTGTCAAGAGCCGTATCGAGGGCCCGCCGGTGCGCGAGTGCCCAATCTTGTTGCGTCAGACGAGTTTCCTTGCGCTACAGGAGGGTATTCGCTTTGCTATTTCGGGAAGAGACGAGTTTGTGGATGGTTTCCATAAGGCTCGGTTTGGTGAGATTGAGGAGAGGGGAGCTGCTGTTACGCCTGCAGGCAGAAAGCTCTATGACGAACTATTGGAGGAAGCAATGGCAATAGTACAGAAAGAGGGGGAATCTTCTGATGCGAAGTTGGTGGACGAGACATTTGTAAAGGTCTTTGAAAAGTTCCCCGATGACTGGGACGAGCTGCGGCGGCAAGGGCTCGTTTACTCGGACTATCGATGCGCAGAAATCGCCAAAGAGAAGCTGCACAGCTTGGAAAATATCGATACAACAGACCCAGCTTCTCTTTTGGATCGGCTCGTCTCCGAGGGTGTGCTCGAAGCGGTGCCCATCACGTACGAAGACTTCTTACCCTTTTCGGCTGCCGGCATCTTCCAGTCGAATATCCAGGCCGGGGCTAGCCCAAGCAAACCTACGATAGGAGAGGATGAGTCGACGCGACCCGATGTAGATGGCTACGAGAAGGCTTTGGGGAGAGGTATCCTCAACGCAAACGACTTGTATGCGCAAGCGCAGATGAAGAGCTTGCATACCTGCGCGGAAGAGCTTGGTTTGAGTATGGACATGATTCCACGGCTTTACTAGTGCCCGGGGGCAGGATTCCAGGTAGACACGTAGAGAACTTGCTTACGCTTTTTGTTCTGCCAGGATGTTTGGCTTGCATTTCGTCCCAATGATTGGAAAGATTTTTGATATTTGTTGCAAGCTTGATAGCCTCATTTCGTATCTCGGCGCCCCTAATTATAATACCATCCTCGTTCATCGTAATTCATGGCATCTGTTCCGACGTGTCGGCAATGACTGCTAATAATCTCGAACACCTTGAAGCAACTCTTGCACCAGCCACTCCGACTCTTGCGGAATCGACAAGTCGTCCAATCCCATAATCCAATCCTGCATCGACGGCGCCGCACCACCACCAAAAGCGGCATGCATATCTCCCGCTACCGGGCCCGACTCAATCGCAGGCAAGGAAGTGTTACCACTCGGCGCCGCCGCCGCCGCCGGTTTCTGCCCATCATTACAAACCATACTGATCGTCCTCTGCGACAGCGCCTCAAACATATCCCGGTACGACGTCGCCAGGTTCCAACGCTCGGCAATGATAATAAGAACGGTGGTGCACGCCATACACGTCGTCACCACATCAGCCTGCCTCGTCGAGTCCCGGACGCGCTTGGAGCGCCATAGGCAGTAGAGATACGTCAGCCCGCCCAGGAAGAGGATGTGCAGGCTGCCCCAGGTGAACTGGACCGAGGAGGACTGGTAAACGCGGCGGTAGAGCATGCACATCTCCCTCGCGCGCACCGCGCACTCTTCCAGCACCCGCTCCGTGGCTTCGTTGTCGTTGAGGTTTCCTCCGTGACCGGTGTTGTCCGCCGTAGACTGGTTTGCTGCGGATGATCCTCCCATCATGTAGTGGCGGTATAGCAATAGGATCGAGTGGTCGTAAGCGAGTTGGAACCAGGAGCGAGAGGTGAAGACTGACAGTGGGTGCGCCCTTGAGTAGTTTAGCTGATCGGGAGTCTTTGCACGCCACTCCTCCAGTTCATGGCGGAGACTCTCTATTGTAGCTGTATTTCCGCAGCCGCAATGTCGAGTCGTGGGGGGATATAGGTTGTCGCTGATCTTCGTCCACAGCCGTCTTAGTTTGATAGCGTGGATGAAGCCGGTCATGAGTGTCGGCGGGTCTGTATTGGATGTTCGTGAGGCTGACAAGAGTCCTCCCGAAGTCACATTCTCATCATCGATATCCAGTGGTAACTGCGCTCCTCGTTAGTATTTTATAACCAGAGGCTATCGCGAGAGATACGAAGAGAGGAAAAGCCTCACCTCAACATCGATAGAATCGTCCGGAATACCAACTGGGCGGCCTAGTGTAAACGCAACGACTCTGTCAATGTCATACGCGACCCAGAAACACCTCTTGGACATCTCCTTAGTCAAAGCATCTGTATTTCTGTGATATCTCTCGGCACTTCGGTGGTAGCCGAGCTCGATACAATGGCGTATAGCCATACCAGAGACTTTCCTAAGAGATAGTCAAACCGGCACCATGATTTCAAGTAGACGCTTGACTTACCACAGACTTACACCAACAGGTGATCTGATAGAATACACAGCACAGGCTAGTATTGCCTGGATGGACTCTAGGCTGTCAAGGTCCAAGACTGCCGAGATGTGATCCAAGGCCATTGAATAGTAAGCCTGCCGACTCCTGCGTCAATATTCTTCGTCGCATAATACGCCAACTCCACGAAAGAGTAGAGCATACCTCAGCAGCATCATAATGGTTTTGACCAAGGACTAAAGACCCTATTGAATATACCTGAAAGTCGTATTAGAGCACTGCCGATCTCCTCACAGCCATGTCACGAGCTCTCCAAAGGTCCGGCTTACCATTAACACGAAGAAAAGTGTTGATCCGTTGACACTGCTCAGATCTCCGTCGAGACTCGCCTTTAGACATGTCTCTTCCCAAATCCGGAACGTCGGCTTATGCAGAAATGGGTACTGGGGATGTATGTTGTTAAAGTACGCTTCTGACAAGTTTGCCCTCAGTATCGGCGACGGTAACCTCAACGGAACCTCTCGGACAACTTCCGGATTGATATCCTTTCCCCGGCCTGCATGGCTATGCTGCGAGCTCCCGCCAGTGCTGGCAAGGCCCATGGTCGCGCTGACGATGCGCGAAAAGGAAACAGCGGAAGAAGGACCAAAGTAATGCGGCTCCCGGCCGGCCGCGCTTAGACAGAGCAACGCAACCTCTGACGACAAGGTATCGACATGATGGTCGTCAACATCTGGAGAAGGCGCACGTAATGCCCGCGAGAAGTCCACGTCTTCGAATGATGAAGGCTGAGCCTGGAGGTTCGGGGCGAGGGCAGATGGCATGTGCATGATGGGCATTGCTTGCGTGGGACCGCCGTTGTGCGAAGCGGCGGCGGCGTTTTGGTTTGCTTCACGACCACGACTGCCACCACCCTCGTGATTGGCACCAAAGTGATCGAGAGCGACTTCGGGCCGGGCCTGCTGTAAGAGACCTTCGAGATAGGCAACGCGGGCCTCCAGCGACTTCATGTAGTCGCGCGGGCGATGTAAGCCGGTGCCGGGGTCTTCTACCAGGCAGTCTGGTTTTTTCCACATTAGATGAAGTTCATTATGCCGTCTCATGTTGCTATTGGACCTTACCTCGTCCAGTCCTCACGCAGTTCTGGCACTTGGGACTTTGTCCGTCGCACTATGAACGAGTCAGTCAGCTCGGTTGTGTCTTTTGCAGTTCTACTAGAAGACAGTTGAATGTTACCTTGAGCTTCTTTTGCTTGCAGCCGATGCAGGCCAACATGGTGCGCTCGCCGAGTCGCGGGCGTTTGGCCTGATGGGTGCTGCCGGTTCTTTGGCCACTCATTGTGAAGGGAGGAGGGGAAAAGAAGACCAGCGTGTTCTAGACGAAATGGAAAACGAGAGGAAATGCCCAACGGCGCGGAACCGCCGATCTGCACAGTGGAGACTTTGAGAGTCAGATATCGCAACGGTTTGAAAGCATGTAAACGAGCATGGAGACCTGTCGTCCGGGAAAGTCTGGGGTACGTTTGCCGTATGTGTCAGCACTCGATTTCCGCATAGTTGTTGGCTCGGACAATAATAGGGGGGCACGGAGGCGGGGTGTACCGGAGGGCCGCGCTACCGTTATCTCGTGCGGAGACTGGTGGGAACGAGTTAGCACTGGTCGTCTGTTCGGAAAGTTCCTGGTCTCCCCTGAAGTGCGATGTTGTGCGTTGTAAGTACACCTGTTAGTGCACGGAGATGGACGTCGAGTTCGGCCGGGATTGTCTGCTTTCCGGCATCGGAGGAGTTCAGCTAGCCAAGCTGGTTTGTTATGAGTGGAAGCATATGACCGGTGTTTGAAAGTTCAGCCAACAATAGGCGAACCATATTGTTGTTCCTCCCGTGTTTGCCTTGCGTGCATGTACTATATATCATTGAGGCCATCCACACAATGACAGAAGGTGGAATCAATTGTGCTTGCAACGAAGACTTGACCCACAGGATCCACCGCTACAGGTCTTAGTCAACTCACGCTTTGGAACTTTCAACTTCCACAGTCTCTATGGCTCAGTCGGTAGAGCGTTGGTCTCATATCCATACATATGACTCTAGATCATCTAGAGATATCCAAAGGTCGCAAGTTCGAGCCTTGCTAGGGACATTTCCTTTTGGTTTTGCCACTATTTACTACCCGACACATCATTTATCGCCAGAACTCAACTACCTAAGCATCAATCGATGGTCAGGTACTGGCTCACTCACTTTTCCCCTTCTTTTCTCCATCCAGCAAGCATAGGACTAGCTCTTTATGTCGACAACACAAAGGCAGAAAAGAACCGGGTTTACAGAGGAAAGACATACATTTCTACTTGACTTTCTATCTTGGTTGATTCAATGACATGCATGGTTCCGAGAAGGGAACTAAGAAACAGTCCGAGAAACAATCCAATGTGTCTTTCCTTTCTTTCTTCTTTGGTTTTCCGACCAGCTTGTATGTAATACCTACATTCCGATCGGTTGCGCCGAGCCATGTTCCCTGGCCCGCGTTGAGCAGCGATAAAAATAGTAACCACTACTTTATCCAAACAGATTCACCCGCTGCCTTCAAGGTTAGCACTTTAAACCCGCTAAACAACACCTGCGGAACGCACTGTAAGTAAGTACTTAATAACCTGCAGCATAACATCGCAGCGGCATGTTTTAGTTACACAACACCATCGTCCAACGTCGAGAGAAAGACCACCGATAACTTCATCCAAGCGTAGCAAAACCCCCATGATCAATCGTCCGGATAACTCGGGATGCTGCTAAGCCCTCGGCTACGCAGAAATGGGGCAGCAAATGGCAGCTATCGTTCGCCAAGTCTGAAAGCTTTCGCCATCCCACCACACGTGTCATTTAACTGGAGCTTCTGTATTCGTAGATGCAGCGGGCGCACGCGTCACTCCTGAAAGTGAGTGAGTTTGACGTGGGGGCTCAACTCACTCTCCCCAAAACACCAAAACCGCAACACATACATGCACTAAACAAATCATGAGGAAATTCTTCAGAGAAGCAAAGCAAAAGATCGAGGCCGAAATCGCCTCCATCACCGGCGACGATGAGCCCCAACAGCAGCAGCCGCCGCCGCAACATCAACAGCAGTACTATCCCCCTCAACCGCCGCATCAGGGGTTCGAGAGAGCGGTATTCGCTCATTTCATGGTTCGTCAGGTCCTCACGGAGGCCTCCTCAACACCGCACTATGAGATGCAAACATGAAACTAACACACATCAACAGCTGAGCAATACCTGCGAGTACACCGTGGACGAGTACAAAGTCGACATTGGCCTAGCCCAGCAAGCGCACATTGACGCCTTTGTCCTCAACTTTGGCATCCACGAAGAAGCCATCGTGAGGCTCCCCGACGTCTTCGCCGCCGCCGAGCAGACGGGCTTCAAGCTCCTCTTATCCTTCGATTACGAAGGAGCAGGAGCATGGCCCAAGGAGCGCGTCATCGAAATCGTCAGCAGAGTAAGCCTCAATCTCCCCGAACCTTCAATCAAAAGTCCGAGATACTAACCCCCCCCCCCCCCCAAAAGTTCGGCCCCTCACCAGCCTACTTCAAACGCGGCCATCAGCCCATCGTCTCAACTTTCGAAGGCGTCGGCAACGCAGCCGACTGGCACGAGATCAAGGCCGCGACGAACTGCTTCTTCATCCCCTCCTTCTCCTCCATCGGCGCCGACAACGCCCTCAAGACGGGCGTCACCGACGGCCTCTTCAGCTGGGCCGCCTGGCCCCACGGCAACGCGCGCAAGATGGACGAGGGGCTCGACGCATCGTACCGCCACGCCCTCGGCCCGCACCGCCCCTACATGGTCGCCGTCTCCCCTTGGTTCTACACCAACCTGCCCACCTGGAACAAGAACTGGGCGTGGAAGGGTGATGACCTGTGGAACGATCGATGGAATGAGATTCTGGCCATGAGGCCCGAGTATGTGCAGATTGTGAGTTCACACACACACGAAACCCACTTTTGGGGAGCATGACATTGACCACAGACAACACAACAGCTCACCTGGAACGACTTTGGAGAATCGCACTACATAGGCCCCCTCCACGAGAAACAATTCGGCGCCTTCGAATACGGCCAAGCCCCCTTCAACTACGTCCGCGACATGCCCCACGACGGCTGGCGCCTCCTCCTCCCCTTCCTCATCGACCTCTACAAATACGGCACCGCCACCGTCCGCCGCGAGGGCCTCGTAACCTGGTACCGCCTCCACCCGGCCCACGCAGGCGACGCCGGCGGCACGACGGGCAACACCTCCTCCCACGGCCAGGAGCTCTTCCACCCGTCCGAGATCATGGAGGATAAAATCGTCTTCTCGGCGCTGCTGACGGGTCCCGCGCAGGTTACCGTGAGCGTGGGCGGCGTCGCCGAGGAGGCCCGCTGGGACGAGGATGATGGCACTCCTGCGCGTGGTGGCGTGGGCGTGTATCACGGTAGTGCGCCGTTTAATGGTCGGACTGGCGAGGTTGTCGTGACTGTGCACCGCGGCGGGGACGTTGCGGCTCAGGTGCAGGGGCGGCCTATAACAACGGAGTGCCATCATGGAGGAATGAATAATTGGAACGCTTGGGTTGGCGCCGCCGAATCTCATGTGGAAACACATGCTGTTGCGTATTTGGGTTAGTCGCGATGATATAGACCATGGATAACCAGGATAAACGCTCGAGATGAGAACCTGTGGTGTTTGGCACAGCACAGTAAGACGCATATTTGTTGTTCAGAGTAGTTTGGGTTTTTATTCACACTTAGTGTGAGACCAGGTATTATTCACAACCAGAACCTGAAAAAAATGAGCTGCATCTGCGGCGCTGTGTCGCCTTGCAGATGAGGGGGGATCCTACAGATACATATCCAGAACACCATCCCGCCAACCGCTCCCCGTCTGTACAAATCGCAAAAAGCCAGTGGAAAAAGTATAGACATCTTGAATGCGATCACGGAGAAGCACCCCGTGACGGCCTTGAACCTGCCCCTGGGAACCAGGCAGACGCTCCCCTACACTTGTGGCATCATCATGAGACCGGGTATTGCCATTCACCCGTCGTCTTGTTCATGTAACCAAGCTGCTCGGCTGCTGCCGTGAAGTCCTACTCCTCGTGCACGCTGACCATGGTACCGTTCCCCTTAGCAGACTTCTTACCAAGTTTCAGCATGCTGAGCCTCTTTCTGACGCTTCCACGTTTGACGATGCCAAGTGCGTCCACAGGCCGTTCGTCCTTGTACTCCCGCTCCTTCTCTGTCAAGTTCGTTCCCGCATCTGAACTGCGCCGTCCGCCCGAGTCCGTGACCCATTCGCTGGTGGCATCGTTACTGCCTAGAACCCGCGGTATGTCGCTGGACGGAGCTCGGAAGAAGCTGCTGCGACGGTTGGCGTTGCTTGTAATGGTCACGTTGTCTTGTGTCTTGCTGAAGCTTCGGCTGCGGTGGCTAACGGTGTCCTCAACTTCCGGTGTCGTTTGAGGGTCGCTGGGGGTCTGTTGCAATACTGGAGATTCCTTCTTACGGCCTCCCAAGAAGCTCAGACGCGTGCCACGCCCTTGGCGGATGGCAACTGGCTGGACAGTCGACACTTCTTCGACAGCGACTCCGTTCGTCATGGCACCAGCAATGCTCTGCGGTTGGGGCGATACTTGTTCGGTAGATGGTGACGACCGCCTGTATGTCGGCGAAGCATTGGCGGACTCCCGTGATGGCTGCTGAGGAGCGAAGAGGGCAATCTCAGGCGCAAATGTGCTTTCAAAGTCTGTAATGTATTAGTATGGAGCGCCTAGGCAAGAGGTCATGAGCATGAGCAAGAAGGACTTACATCGTTGAAGTTCCTCGTGCCTTTCGTTGAGGATTTCGTTGGTACTTCTAGAAAAGGTTGCGAGGCACCGCTTGATCATGATCGCATGGTCTACGAGCGCCATCTTAATCGCGTTGTCTTCAGGGTCAAGCTCAGGCTCAACCTCTTCTTCTTGAAGCACATCGTCCTCGTCATCCTCGGGTTCTGCACGGGACGGCAGTAATTGACGATAACATGCCACGCTATTTTCCGAATCTGGGTTGACCGACACACTTACTGCATCGACGAGCAGCTGTGCATTCTCTTCGTCGCCCTCGGTAATCCGCTTCTCGATCACTGTCATTTCCTGCGTCTTCCTTACAATCCGCTCTAAGCCGGTCTGGCGGGCACTGAGTTTGATCTCCTCGGTATGCACGATTTCGCTGCGGCGAAGAATTGTCGGGAATGGGTCGGCAGTGGTGAATACCATCTTCTCCGCAAAGTGTTCCTGAACAGGGCCAGATGTGCTGCGCTTAGAAG